ATTTTTCAAACCAATTTGCATTTCCCTTGGAGGTTCAAAAAAGTGGGATTCCTCTGTATTTCAGTCCTATTCCTACAGATCAAGTGCTCCTCATGTGACCATTGGTTGCGTCAGCATTGTTGTTGCGTTCTTTCTTCTTGTCACTGGTGGAATTCTGGTTACAGTCTATAAGCATAAAAATGAGCAGAAAGGCAAGTTTTATATTTAATTTATGAATGGTAATATTAATGAAATAATAAATAATTTATTTTCTACAGCCCTACCCAACATGCATCACATGATGGACAGGTTGGAAATTTCTAGAATAGTCAGTAGAATCATGTACTTCAGTGCTTTGTAATTTTAAATTATCACATGTAATGTTTTCAGTTGAACTGTTAACCATTACAGTAGAACCTTGATTATCCGTACCTCAATTATCCGGATTTCTCAATTAACCAGACTTTTTCTCTAGTCCCAATTTTGTCATGAGTATTCATTTGTCATGATCAAGATTCGTAGCAATATATATTTTTTTAAAACTATAGCATTGAAAAGTGCAGTCAAAAGTGAGTTTGCTTTGCTTTTAAGAGCAAAAGCAGCGCTCGCACATGTCGTGACTAATGAAGAACACTCGAATGAGTTCTGACTGGCTCAGAGTTGAGTGGTTCAAGATGTACAGTAGACCATATTGTTTTCNGTTTTCAGTTGAACTGTTAACCATTACAGTAGAACCTTGATTATCCGTACCTCAATTATCCGGATTTCTCGATTAACCAGACTTTTTCTCTAGTCCCAATTTTGTCATGAATATTCATTTGTCATGATCAAGATTCGTAGCAATATATATATTTTTAAAACTATAGCATTGAAAAGTGCAGTCAAAAGTGAGTTTGTTTTGCTTTTAAGAGCAAAAGCAGCGCTCGCACATGTCGTGACTAATGAAGAACACTCGAATGAGTTCTGACTGGCTCAGAGTTGAGCAGTCCAAGATGTACAGTAGACCATATTGTTTTCCAGTTAAAAGTGTTGTTTCACGATTAAATGTTGCTTTATTTAAACAGTTCTGTTCTTCATGAATATTCACATTTTCGATTATCTGGACCCTGGATTATCTGGACTATTTTGTCTAGTCCCAACGGGTCCGGACAATCAAGGTTAGACTGTAACACCTTTGGAGGATGGGGGTGGAGTGGTTATGTATGTTATGGCTGTGCATTTTAGTGCAAATGAAACTAAGAGACCCATTGGCTATGTGTCACCTTGTTTTACGTGTACAACAGTATGCTGAAATGTATGCTTGAAAACCCTGAATTTTCAATGTACATGTTTATAAGCAGTTAGGTTTCTGTAAGTTGAGAAAATTATGGCGTCATTTTAGCATGAATAAAATATGAGTACATTTTCAAGCAGGAAATTGGTCACTACAAATAAAATAATTAAATTATTTAAAGTAAGGCTCAATAATTATTGTTTTGGTAGGTAGATCACAGAGACCTCAACTACATAAAGGGATATTTTTTTTTTGATCAAATAGAAGCATGTAATATATGATACATGGCATCATTCTGATCTTCCCTCAGATGTAAAGATAGCTTGTAGGGCACTTACAGCAGCAGGGTTGTTTGGATTAACTGGTATGAAAATGAACATTTTGTTTAATGAATGTCTGATCAAACAAGTTATTTTACATATATTGTAAGACTGACCTGTCCAGATTAGCTTCACAGTTTGCGAGTCAGTCTGATGTAATTTTTTTATGTGTCTTTCAATTTATTTTTTGTTGTTGTCATTGTTGTGTTGTTGGATTTTAGCAGATGGCACAAAGAAGTAGTTAAATTTGGAAACTAGCATGTACATTTACTTTCAATTGACTGTTTTTTATTACCTTTTTTTTCTTAAACTCCCTCCACCCAAGATGTGCATGTAAGTCTCATTTATGCACCCACCTGAAACTAAAACCTATTAGTCATATAAGCTGGGGGCTTCTAACCAGCATTTGCGGGATTCTGTAGGGGCATGTCTCCTTTTGTACATGTTTATTTTTTTTCTGGTTTTGCTAAGGTGGAGTTACAAACTGGCTGGGAATAAA